CGTACTATATGAAGTAACAGAAGAATTTGTTTTACACATAGGTGCCTCTGTGTATAGACATCTAAGGACTTGCAAACAACAGTGGAAGAGAAGAACTGCATTACAGAGACTAATTTTCTAGGAAGGGATCTGGGATGTTTTTAAGTAGGGGGATAGATGCTGATCTCTATGATATCCAGGGATAGAATGTCTGGGAATGGATTGGAGGTGTATCACAAGAGGTCCAGAGTGGGCATGATGCATTTCATTGCTGAGAGAGTGGTCAGACAGTGAAACTAGTTTTCTAGAGAGGTGGCTGATGGCCCCAAGCCTGTCCCTCTTTAAGAGGTATTTGGACAGTATCCTTAGCAATGTGCTTTATCATTTGGTCAGCCCTGAAGTGACCAGACAGTTGGACTAGATTATTGTTGCAGGTCCCTTACAACTGAAATGCTCTAATCTACAGTTTTTTTATTGAATTGCAGAGGAACATTTGGAAGTTGTCATGTTTGTAGCAGCATTGGCAACATTTTAAAAAATAAAACAGCAATTACTGTTGTGAAGGGTAGGTCTGTAACCTGTGTCAAGCCAAATCAGAGTTGTCAGCAGTACAGTAGTGGCTGTACTCAAGCAGAAGAGGAACCTTGAGTTCACCATGGCTCTCTGGGTTATTGAGTTGAGTCTTCTCAGTTAGTGGCTGGTGTAGCAAGTCCTTCAAAATATCTGTGTCCTGCTCTATTGGATTTGCCATCAGTGTGGAGCAGTACATTCTGCACTTCAAAAATATGAGACAGACTCTGTAGAAGAAATGGTCACTTAATTATGTATGATGATATAATATGTGAATGACTTGTTAGAAGATTCTTTCGGTTGCTGCTCTGAGTTGGGAATTCCTACTTTCTCTTGATAGTGTGTGTTGTCATCAAGTGACCTGATTTTCCATGGCAATCCTGCTGTACAGCATTTTAACAGTTTTCTTTCTCTCCTTCTTTGTAAGAACTGCCCTGAGCTTTATCTTCAAAAATTCGGTTGTAATGACATCTCACTGTCTTCCCTGTTTTTATCCTTTAGATTTTATCAATATCTTTAGTGCTTTGTCTAAAGTAGTGCTGCTCAAAATGAGTTTTTATTTTCTAAGCTTGATTTTCATCTCAGCCAGAAGAGGGCAGTGGAATACATCATTTACATTCCTACAGCGATTCCCCCTTACTCAAAGGATAGCTTGGAGTATGCTGTCAGCTTGTTTGCCAGTTATGCTATTCAGAGTATTATTGGAGTATTAACTCTATGTTTGCCAGTTATGCTATTCAGAGTATTATTGGAGTATTAACTCTATATTTCCAAACAAACATGCAATCTATATATTTGATATTTTTGTATTCCCATAATTTTCAGTGATGTCAACAGCTTCCAATCACACCACCTTTAGCAAGTTAACTTTGCTGGTTTGAGAATGAATTCCCCTTAGTCCTGGGGACAGTTTCAGATGTTCCTGCCTCACCAAGAACAGCCATTCAGCACATGTCAGCAGACTGCATTTTTAAGTCTGTTATCAGCAACAGAAGGCACACAGTAACAAGAAAAACTTTGAACAGGAAATTAAAATTTTAAGTACAATGCTTCTATGTTCTTCTACTCCAAGACATAACATTTAACAAATTGTTGAGTCAGTAAACAGATATTTTTTGTTCATAAGTCTTTCAGGAGCATGAATATTTACTTCTCTTTTTGTTGAAATTAATATTTGGTATCATATCTGAGTAGTATGGAAACTTTATACTTCTTCATATACTATAAATATTTGTATTTTTGTCAAGATTTCTGTTATGTTAATTAATTTCACCCATATTTGTAATGGCTTCCAAACAGATTTTGTCTATCAGGCACCAGGACAGGCTTTTGAATTTTCTTTAGTGTAAAGTCAGTTGACTTTAAGTTGTCCCTTCAGTAGTATCTGGTCCAGCACAATTGCTTCACCATTGCTATTTTATCAGCAGGATTACTTTGGAAATTTTCTGCTGTAGAATTTCCAAGAGCGGTGGAAGTACTTAGATAAAGATGTAGGAGCCAACTATAATAAATCACCAAATAAAAGACTTCTGCCAAGAAGCAGAAAATAATAAGCTTTCTACATCTGAGGCAGGAAGTTCTGGGCCTAAAAGGCAGCACAAAGAGATTTAGGTTAAATACTAAGAAAACATTTTCTAATGCCGAAGCATACTGAAGCACTTTTGCCTAGGGAGGTGACAGGACCTGTTTCAACTGAAATATGTAAGAACGAGATAGATAGATACTGTCAGTAATGGCATAACTGACTTTGCCCTACAGTGGAGAGAAATGGATTAGGTGACCTTCTGAGAGCTATAAATATGACAATAAGCTTGCTTGGAAGCATATTTTTTGGTCTTAACTGTTGAATGTTTTTGTCGAAGGAAAAAAAGGAAAGGTGTTAACTCTCAGGGTATATCTATTGTAGATTCAAAGATTATCTGCTCTCTTTTCTTCAGTCCCATGACTGCATGTTTCTATATCCTTTTTTTTTCTATTTTGACCAAGTAAAACACATAGGAGATAAAAAGTAGGACGTATCACTGTAAAAAGTGAGAGTCTTTATGGTACAAGTTTGTATTGTCTTTTCATAACTAAATGGTTGATGGTGAAAGAGTTGATGATGTAAGAGAAATCAGAAGACCAATTTATTACATTTTATTTTGTTCTAACAGGCAGAATTAAAGTTAGGCTGAGTAAATGTAATTAATAGAAATAAATCAGTTTTTTGGTCACTTCTGTAAGCTGTAAGTGCAAAATGAATGTTATTGCTACTTGCGCTACACAAATACTCAGTATAACATAATAAATCTCATTAAGTGGTTGTTTATCCCATCAGGTGAATGGTAGAAGGGAAGAAGTGTAAACATAAATTCTGTTGTAATTTCATTGTGTACAACGAAATGACACGTGTGGCAGCCTTCTGTTGTTAATCTTGCTCTGTGCCTTTTGGGGGATGGGGCGGTGTTGCAGGTGATCCAGCCCTTAGTCCAGCAGCCCACTTTGCCTGTAGTGAAGCAGTCAGTGAAGGAGCGGCTCGGCCCCGTACCTGCGAGTAATATTGAACCTGCAGAAGCACAGGGTGCCAACACAGAAGTCGCTCAGGTTTGTATTGTGGTGAGAAATTCAGTTGCCTGTTCTTTCTGAAATAGGTTTTGTAGTGTATGAAGGTACCAGTTAGTTCTGTGGTGCAAGTACACATTTACTACTTCAAAGTGCTTCTGCTTACATTGTTAGTGATGCTTTCCTATTAAAGTGTTCCTCAGTGCAATGATATTTGGCTTTTCTACCTAAGCCTGGTACTTAATTTTTTAGTATTTTAGCTTTTTACATAGTTTAAAAAGAAAAACTGAAAGGATTTCAGACTGTTTCAGGATTGTTGTGTTATATTGCTGGTGATAGATTTCAAAATAAAGTCAGTCTCTATCCAGAGAACTAAAAGCTAATTTTTTTAATGTGTATGTATTTTATCTGTTAAACACCTAAAACCATTAGAGAATGAAGCTCTATATCTAGAAGAATTTTTAGAATTTGTTCATCTCCCCTAATAGAAGGAAGAATGTAACCACAGTACCATGTGAATAGTGACAGAACCTGGTGTGTTACTCCCATTAGAAATAGTCTTTAATGTTTTATTATATTTGCAACATTTCCTTATTAGTATTATACTGCTGCTTTGGTTTTACCTCTGGAAAGAAAGACCAGCACAAATCAGAACACATTTCCAGTTTAAATTCCAACAACTTCCAGTATTTGATGCAGATGTAATCTGCAAATAGCGGATTATAGAACACAAGATCTGTAGTGTATTTAAAAGGGCCTGTGCAGATAATCCTCTGCCAGCTAGCATGTCTTGAACTTCCTGCAAAAAATACGTAGGATAATCTTTGATTCCAAATTTGGCTTTGTAGTTGTCTTACCCAATTATAGACTTATATAAATTACAAAATCAAGTATCTAAAATGAATTTTATCAATTGTTTGACTATTTTTATCTTCTTGTTGCTTAAAAGTCTATGATTTTATTAGTTAAATATTTTTTTCTAAATTGCTAGTGCTTGTAGTGTACATTTGAATTATAATTTTGCTTTGTTTTCTCAGAATGTGACTAAACTATCTGTGAAGGATAGACTGGGTTTTGTGTCAAAGCCAGTTACTCCAACAACTGAAAAGGTAAGAAAATGTCTCATATTCTCTCCTCTCATATTTATTTTCAGTAGAATTAATTTTTTTATCAAACCCCTTGTGTCAATATTGTTTCATAACTATGAATAAAACAATTTGGGAAGGACTGGTTTTAGGAAGCATAATAAGTCAAAACTCAGTAGATGGGTAAATGATTATAAGAAGGATAAAAGCTGCTATTTTGTGGATTTTGTTTAATCTGTCAGGTTCCTTTTATTCAGTCATAAAAGAAATATGTTCCATAATCCTCACTTGTTTAGATGTATGCAAAAATAAATTTTACAAATAAATAAATTTTGACATTACATATGACACTATAGAAGGCAGTTCTGTAAAATGTTTCTGGTTTTCTGTGCCCCTTAAAAGATGATGCTGTAAACATTTACTGTTTTATTTGGTTTTACAATTTGCAGTACTTGTGAAAAGATAATGGTGAAAATTAATCAGTATAGAAAGGTAAGGGGGAAAAGGTGCATCTGAATTGCAGTTATGAGCTATATATTTTGGCCAATGGTTCCAATTTTCAGAATACAAAGTGGTTGATATGCTTACTATAGTAGCAAAGTTTGTAATGGATGTTTCCAGATCTATTTAGCACTTCAGGGGATAGGCTTCCCCAATGTTTTTAACATTCATTTGAGAAAACTTGTAGAAACACAGAAAGTTTTACCTCATAACAGGATTACTTTGTCTAGGTATATATCTTTTCTGTAGGGAATTAGCTTGACCTGAAATAAATGAAGCATCTACTGTATTTCCCCACACACATTCCTCTCCCACCCCTTTTCAATATGACAGTTGATGGATTAAGTGGCATCTAACAGGTAAAATTCACTCCAGAGATACTTAACACAGAAAGGCAACAATACTTGAAGTTGGTAATATTAGTTGTCATATTAGAGAATGTGTCTTTGATTCATTTCAAGCCCAGCAGTCCACCTGAATGCACTGATCAAGGTGTCTTGCCTGTATTTTGTTGTTAGTTTGATTAGTTCCATTCTTGGTACTCTAAATTAGTTGCAGATAAATACCTTGCTGTGTATTCCTGATCTACATTTTACATACATAACACGTGCTTACTTTAGAAATAGGAAGTCTGCTTCAGCTTGCTGCTTGAATGGAAATACTTTCTTTTCCTCATTCTGTAAGAGTAGAGTTACCCTGAAATACTTTCCTACAAAGAGTAAATTTTATGCTAGGATGTTTTTCTGGTCTGTTGTCTTACAGTACAGATGTGATTTTGCTGAGCGGCTGGGCTCCTCACTGGATGAGTTGTGGAGCAGCAGTTTCCTTTGGCATTTTTAGTAGGATTCTAAAACCTGATTTGACTTATTTTTACCTACTACTGCCTCTTTACAAGGAAATACCTTGCAGTCATTATATTCTATAACCATTAGAAGTAAAATGATTGACATCCATCAAAAACAGAGGTGTCATGTCCTAGATGGTTTTTTTTTGCACCTGATGGAGTGCATGGTTCGACAAGAACTTTGCAGTGAGAAAGCAGGTAGCTATTCTTCTCAAAGAGCAGGAGGAAAAGGTGCTAAAACAATCATTGTGTATAGGGACTTAAAATTTGTGGGCTTGTGAAGAGATTAATGCTATTCACGCTATTGCTTCTCTTGAATAGTATTAAGCGATTTAGAAGACCTTAGTGTTGCTTTTGACTTGTCTGTGTTGGTGCTGTGGCTTCTCTCCTTACATCTACATAAAAGACATGAGGAGATGTGGTTCACTCTGCCCTGAAGACAGTTCAGGGTGAAAGGAATGTGTCGGTATTTTTTGTCTTTGCTTGATCCTCTGTTTGTTTGTCTTGTAGCCTGTCCTAAAGCTACTTTGTAATAGAAACTGTATGAGTCAGATATGCATACTTAAATGTTCTTTAATAGATTTAGAAAAAAATCCTTCATCTTTGTAATGACCTGCTTAGGGCATTTTGTATCACCTCCTGTAGTACCTCATAACATGTTGATTTCTTTTTGCTGTTGTTTTCTATGCGCTGCATACTCTTGGAAACACTTTACTGTGGGAAGAAATAGTATAAAATACCACACTGAAGTGCAAAGGGTTTATATGAGCCATTCCTGTTGTAAATTCTTCGAAGCTCTTGGTCTTTTCTGCCTTTCTGTTTCTTGTCTGTCTCTTTCTTTCCCTTTCTGTTGGTGGGCATTTTGCTATTGTATGGAGTGCATGGTGACCAATAGAATCTGCATGCATCTTTTAATTTTCCACATAGATAGAAAGTATTTTTAAACTCCTGGAAATCATTCCAATTACATAAATTCTTGTATTTGCTAACAAGGTGGACAAGATCATACCTGTATTATCTCTAGGACTTAGCCATGGATTTTTCAATATTACCATGCCAAATAACACTTTAAGGAACAGGCTAAGAAAACAGAATAGTTGAAATCTTCAGGTATTGTGGAGAGGGAGATTGTAAAGCAGTCCTCAGTGTTCTCAGTAAGTCATGGAGAAATTTCAGACCTCGTTACAAATGTAGGAAAGAGAACAGGGAGACATAGGAGTCTATTCCTGTGCTGTATAATGTTGAAGACTTCCTTGTACTTCAGTTACTTCTTGCTGATTGTGCAAGCTCTACTTTGCACCAACTGCATATGAAAAGAAACTGTTGTCTCTATGTTGGACCTTAGTCTCTAAAATTATGTTGAACTTTTGCTCAGAAAATTCATGCAGACATGAAATACTGTATTTTAGACTTCAAAACACAAAACCAAAAGTTAGTCTTGCAAAAATCTCAATCTTCTGTTTCCTTAGTTATGCTCAAATACATAAATATTTATGTATTTGAAACTTGGAAGTGCATATGAAATCTCAGTGGAGAGGATTTATTATAGCTGATGTTGATAGCTTACATATCTGATGTGGTGCTGCCTCCTCAGAAATTGTTTAACTTCAACAACTCCAAATATAATGGTTACACCAAATTTTTATATTCCATATCATCAAAGGAGACAAAAGAAAAGACAATTACATATTTTGAAGCACTTATGCGGGTTTTTTAAAAGATTGAAATTCACTGGCAAAAAAATAAAATGATTTCCTCCTATAGGTTTTATCTACTTCTACTGGCTTGACAAAAACTGTGTACAACCCTGCTGCTTTGAAGGCAGCACAGAAATCTTTGCCTGTTGTTTCCACTTCCGTGCTAGACTCTAATGAAGCACAGAAGAAAAAACAGGTAAATTAAATATGCTTCTTTTTAAAACAGACCTAAGTTGGGAACTTGTGGCCTAGAGATAGAGCACTATGTATATTCATCTCAAGAACATAGATGAAACTTGTTGCAAGATTAAATTTGCTATAATGTTTTGGTTTTTTTTCCCCCACATATTACAAGACAATTCAGCGTTGTTTTGTTATTTTTCAGTGTATGTTCAGGCAGTGTAAGCAGGTTTAAAACTGTAGAAATTCAAAATGTGAAACACTTTTTCCTGGAATCAGAATCTACACATTGAGGTATGAATTGTCTGTTGTGAGTGAAAGGGAGTATATAGTATAGTTACTGTTCTTCTCTCTTAAACTATTCTGGAACTGGCCTCTATTCTCAGTGCATTTTGTACCTGTGACCAAAATGCTTTCTTCAAGAGAACTGAGAATTTTGCCACTTTGCATTTTGTTGTTTCTAAGCTATAGTTCTTCTGCACCCGCTTTTATTTTTACATAGTGCTAGGCTTTCTCTTTTTTATATATGTTAGAAAGGAAATGTAACAAAAATGTATTTGAACTTATTAGGTCACTCAGTTATAGTTTAGCTTGCTTAGAATTTTCAGGAGAGCACAGCAGAGCTCCTTCTTCAAGTTTATTCTTATCATTTAGAGAAACTAAATACACAACATTATTTGCCTTACTATTTTTTAACCACAAATTATGAATACAATACTAAGGTTATGTCCAAACGTAAGTGTGGAAATCAGTATAATGGTTAAAGATTTTGGTCAAGTACTGCTAAATTTCAGTAATTTATGTCTGATGTAATTTGAACTAGCAGTTTGTATCTGCATGTGAGTTTTGCCATTAGTCCAGAATTTATAGAAAGCAGTTCTGATTTTGAGGTTTCATTTCATGTTTGTCCCCTAACACATGTTTTTAGAATTAGAGCCTTTACCTTTCAAGTTAAGATTCTAAATGCCTGTAAAATGGCAGAAAACTTGTAATTAAATTGTTGACTCATCATAACAGCTGTAGAGGTTTTTTGAGAGAAGACACTAACGTTGTCTTCTCTCAGAAGTGATGGGCTCTTTTTCCATGTGATCTTGTGCTCCTTCCTGCCTTCAGAGATTTCTGTTACAATATACTAGTACTTGTGGAAAAACATTTTGTGGGACTGACTCCCTTCTTTTCCTCTTGTCTCCCTAGCTTTTTTTCACATTCATCCCCTTATCTTACCTTTCCTTTCCCTTCAGAAAAATGATTGCACACTGTATTGAAAAACTAACATTCCATGCAACAGAATTTATCAGTATTTGGGAAGACACACAGAAACTTGACTACTGTTTCTTTTTCTATGGCTGCTGTGCATTTACACTCTTTGTATAGGATATTCCACTTGAAATTGATCCCATTTGATCATCTTATGCCTCTCCTCTACTATTTCATTAGATATGTTGATATCAAAGTTCTTAAGAGTTTTCTGTTGTAGAAGTCTTATGTATTTGAGAAAAAGAAGCAACTGCTTTCTTACAAGCACCTTTAGTAGGCACTGAGCACAGCAGGGATGGCATCTCCTCCTGCTTCTCCTTTGGAGTGCAATATTGTCACTTACTGATCAGTTTCAGTTCATTTCTATTTGCCTGGTCAAGATTCTGTTGTTGGCAGATGGAGTAGCTGTACTGTTGGTTCCCAGTTAGAGTGCTCAGACACAAAAGAGGTGCTTTTCTTTGAGTGACACTTCAAGTTTAGGGAAAAAAAATCTTTTTACTTGTAACAGTTCTGGAGACTGTTTTAATTGATGGGCTTGATTACAGTTGGTTTCAAAAGTAATTGTGCTCACACATTTAAACTTGCATGCTGTATCTCTTGAGGTAGTGTAATATGTTGCCTTTCAGCTTTCAGTGGAGTTGTGTAAGGTGTTACTTTATATGTGAGCAATAATAAAGTCTTCACAGATCTAACTAAAAAAGATAATTAGATCATTCTTTAATTTGGTGATGTATTATATTCTAAAACATAGTTGGAAATATCAGTACCTCGCATTTCATGTTACTGATTTTTTTCCCTGTTATTGTAAGTTACTGCTGTGTAGTTGTCAGGTATAGTATATTATTCTGGCATTAATGCTTCAAAGTCTAGAAACTTTCTGTAATCTTTTTATGCTTCTAGGAAGCATTGCGACTTCAGCAAGATGTAAGAAAAAAGAAGCAAGAAATCTTGGAGAAGCACATTGAAACACAGAAGGTAAAATGCTAGCATCAAAGACAGTCATCAATTCAGTTATAAAATCTTACTTCAGTTCAAAATATTTCAGAATTTGTAAGAATGAACAAAAAAAAAGCCTATAAAATAAGCATTATCTTAGAATGGCATTATCATGCTATTTCAAGTTTATAATTTTAATCTGACTTGTCCTGTTAGTTCAGTTAAATAAAACCCTACAAGCTTATGCAATTTATGTCCAATTTTAATTGATACTGCCTAATTTGGGAGTAACATGCCTGTGTTTGGGAGAAGGGAATGCCTAAGTTCTATGTGACAAGAGCAGGAGAGAATGATGTAGAAAACGATGCATGACTGCACTTACGCTTAGGAAGAGGAAAAAAAGCCAAAACTTCATTTAAATTGAATAAAATTTTGAAATAATTCAAGTGTGTTAAGCAAATCTGTCCAAATGAATTGGAAATATCAGATCTTCATTTGTAAACAAGTCAGAGATTCAGACAAATATTTTAATTTATACGTGTTAAAAGTCCTATATGTTGGTTTGTAGGTTAGAGCAAAAGAAATGCAGTATGTTTTTTCCATTAGTTATAAAGACCACTGGAAAACAGATCTGTATCAGTAGTTGCTGAGTAAAAAAGTCTCTTCTTTTTCTGAACTGGACAGATGCTGATTTCAAAGCTGGAGAAGAATAAAGCCATGAAGTCAGAAGACAAAGCAGAAATCATGAAAACACTGGAAATTTTGACTAATAGCATCACCAAGTTAAAGGATGAATTAAAAGGTGTATCACCAGGAGGAGGGGCTCCTTTAAAAAGCATGAAAACTAAAACTCAGGTACTCAAGTTTTGGTCAGCTTTTTAATAGATGAATTCACGTTTGTTTCAGAAGAATAAAAATAAATAATCCCACCAGTAGTATTTAAAACTCAAACTGGCTTAGTTTTTAAGTCCTCTTTGAAGTGAGATTTATTTTGCCTTCTTACCAAAGGAGCATAGTTAATTTTAAAACCATGCTGTTGTCTAAAAGCTGTATCTGCTATTACACAGATACTGCATCATGCAGAAGATGAAAAAAAACCAAATCAAGTCTTAATGATTCTTTCTTTTACTTTGCCCAGTGCTTTGTGTATAGTCTATTGCTTTCATAAATTCTTAATACAAATTATGAAAACAATATTTCTTAAGCGAAATGATTGTAGTTAGGCACCACAAATATCTTCTGGTCAGGCTTTACAAAATGTACTGGTATGTAATTTCCTGTGACTCTTTGTGTCATGGAAATTTGTCAATATATTAATCTTTTAAGATTGAAGCTTATACTGGTCAGTTTTCCTTTGATCTGTGTGCCCGTATTTGGATTTTACCTGTGAGAAATACTTTTTCCTCTGCTACCATTCTTGTTGATACCTGGATGTTACCGGTTTCCCAGCTGCATAAAGATGCAATTATATTAACTTTTTAAAATGCAATATTTTGCTTTTTATAGAAGTATTTGTTCCTAAACAGATCACAGCCTTAAAAAGAAATACCAAGAAGGAATACCGAAATTACTTCTATATACTCAAATGTAGCTTCTTATATAGTTTGTCAGGAAGAAGTTGAAGCAACATGTATTTATCCTGAAAATGGGCATAGATTATTAGGGTGGTCAGACAATAGAATAGGTTGCTGAGCGGGGTGGAGGAGTCACCCTCCCTGTGGTGTTTAAGGTGCTTCAGGTGTCTGCATCAGGTGCTGGGTGATGTGGTTTACAGGTTACACTGGTAGTGCTGGGTTGTTGGTTGGTCTTGATGATCTTAAAGATCTCTTCCAACCTCAATGATTCTATGGTTCTTGCTCCAGGCTTTTCCAGTCTCAGGATATGGGATTGATGAAGGCAAGTTTTTCAGTAAGGACTGAGTAGTAGGAAGTATTGAGTACCTCCACTGTTCTCATGTCCTTTGTCAGGTCCTCTTTAATGTCCAGCAATAAGACCACATTTTTCACAGCATGGTGTTCCTCTTGCTGCTGATTGACACATTGAAGCCCTTCTTTTTTCTCACCCCCCGCCTTGCCTGATTCAAAGCCCTCAGTGGGCTTTAGCTTTCCAAACTAGTACCTGCATGCTTAGATAATTTCACTGTGTTCCTTTTGTGCTCCAACTCTTGTACACATTGGTTTTGGATGTAAGTTTTAGTAAAATCGTCGTGTTCATCCTGGCAATCATCCTGCCAAATTTTTTCCTGCATCTTCTGGAATTTGGGAGGATGCAATTCTTCTTCAAAGGCTAGAAATCATCCTGCCTTTCCAGCAATTACCCAGACCCATGGTATTCAAACAGGTTTTTTCCAGGTGTTTGGAGAAGGCCACATCTACTTTTACATGACTAGATAGTGTGTAGTACACACACACACTGCAGTATCACCTGCATGGGTCTGCCATTGGTCCCGACTCAAATTTCAGCTGGCTCATAATCTCTCCCCAGGCAGAGCTCTGTGTGTTCATACTGTACTCTATAATGCAGAACAGCTCCTACTCCTTCCCATCCTGGCTTATCCTTCCTTAAGAGGCTGTCTGTCCACTGTACCACTCCACTGTGTTTCTTTATGATGTTTCTGTAGTCCCAGGGAGATTGTAGCCCTGTAACTGCACACAGACATCCAGTGTCTTCTCTTTGTTTCACAAGTTTAGTGTATGAATGTGTAGGCTCTTTAGAGAGGCACTGATTTCCCAGAAAAGGAAGGAGAGCTTGTCCCTGTGATACTGTTGTGTAGAACCCCCTCATCTGTATGATTGTTAAGTTTATGTTTTAAATGGTTCTTCAACCTAGTTTTGTTTATCTGCAGATCTGCACACATCACCCTTTGCTTGGTAACTTGGTCCACCACTTCTTTGTGTGGTAGTTCTTTTTAGTAAGAAAAAGTGAGGCAATATGCTAATGTTGAAGTTTTAATGAAGTTTTTGAGCTGCTTTTCCATTTCCTTTGTAATACGGAAAATGAAGAAACATTTCAAGTAAACCCACTTCATAGTGGACAAAGTATCCATTATCTGTGTGCAGTTTTGTCAACGTTTGAAATAGCAAAAACAGTCAGCCCCATCTGACTTTCATAGAAGTAAGGATTTTACAGAGCCTTTGGTTAAAATTTACAACTTTGAAAATTTTCTGAAAGGCTTTGATCTTGGCTCTCTTGTATTTTTTAAGTGTTTAAGATCTGGACAGCTCTGAGGAAGATGGTGAAGATCTGGAAGATCAGGCTTACATGACTGTGCCATTATCTTCACCTATTTTTACTTCTTCCAGTTCATTGAGATTACAAAAAGCTCTTCCCCCTTAAGTGAAAAACCTTTGCTGCCTCTTGGTGTGTCCTGGAGGAGGTATTTTCTTCTTCAGGCTTGGCACAGCTCTGTAACAGAGAAGTCTTCATTAAGACGACTAACAATAAATCTCAAAAGTCTTCATTACACCAGTGTCACTGGCTGCTCTGTGAGTGCTAGCTGCTGGTCATCATTAAATTTCAGAAGCGCTTCTTTTGTCATGTCATTGATGTAGTGCAGCACAGTGGGATTTCAGAGACATTGGTTCCAATTTCAAAAATTTGGAAAAATACTATACAGATAATGGATTTTTTCACCTGGTTGCAGTAGATAATCAGTAAATGGGGATGAATAAACTCAAGGTTGATGTTGCCAGTTGAGTAATCCAGTTTTTTTTTTTCTTTTAAAGATTCCAGGAAAAAAATCAAAAAAATCACCATTCTTTATCAGTGGTGATAGTTGACTTTCAGCTGTTACAAGCACAAAACCTTAATCTTATTACAGCCAGCCTTTGCAAACATTTCATGCTGTTGTTTTGAATCAACACATGTAAATGTAAACGGTTTCACAATCCTGTGTAGTTTTTTTTATAGTTAGCCTACATTTGTGATGTCACTGAAATGTTTGAGTCCTACTTCTTCCATTAGAAAAGTTTCACTTTGAATCGGAACTTCAAATTAAATTTCAATCATTCCATAAATCTTTCTCTGCATCTCAGTAGTTGCAGTAAACATGTCCTAATTGGGATTCAGAGAAACTTTTCTGTATTGTATATATTTTATGGTCATTCAGTAATTTTTTTAAGACTTCAATAATTTCAACAATCTGTGTCCTGGAAGGCAACTTTGAGTGCCTCAGAAACGAGTCTTTTGTTAGCATAGGTCTTGTTACTTCCTGTTTTTTCACTGTGGCCTGAACAGAACTACCATATTTGTGTTTTTGCATTCCAACTTTGTAATAAACTTAGATGCTTTTTCTCAGTACTGATCATAGATTTTGTATTCATTCATAGCTGTACTGCCTTTTTCATCTTTTTTTAGTTCATCTCATCACCATAACATCTTGAATTTTTATTGTATGTATCTTTAGAAAAAATTCCATTAGATTTGGCTTTGCTTGGTAGTCTAAAAGGTTTAACATCACTCAGATGTCAGATAAAGCGCAGATGGAAGCTTTATCTTGACATGAAGGCTCCAAAGCTTGCACATTGTTTGTTTTTGGAGGTGAAAGCCCAGTGTAACAAGCAGTATACCTGCAAAGTTACAGCTTTTTACTGAACAATTGTTTCCTTGTAAAGAATGTGAACTGTAGAACTAATAATTTGCCATAACAATTTTGTAGATGCAGAAGGAATTACTAGATACTGAACTGGATTTATACAAGAAGATGCAAGCTGGGGAAGAAGTTACTGAATTAAGACGAAAATACACAGAACTGCAGCTGGAAGTATGTTTGTGTCTTCTTTTGTAGCAATTAACTTTTAATCAATTATTTTCCTTTATGTTTATTAGCTTGCGTATTGTATAATGAACTATTTTTACCCAGAATGCAGTATCAAGTTGCGTGTAGATGAAGACATTTCGCAATAATGTTTTAAAAAAATCACTTCCTCTACTGCAGTGGAATTGAGAAATAGCATTATCTCTATTTGCAATTGCTAATCTGTTTAAATTCTGTAACTATTTAGATGATATGATATTTTATAGATTTTTGGGTATTAATGCTTTCTTGAAAATCTGAAGTGGTTTTAAATTGTTGCCTGAATGTCATTTTGTGTTTGACACAGAAAAGTTAAGAAATAATGCCTAATCTTTTGTTCTTAAATGTTAACATGCTTTTAATGAGATTAATCAACAAGCCTGAGGATGCCAAAAGTGATATTACTACAGTGTTGGTTTCAAGAGTAGAACTTAAGAAAAGCAAATACAGTGTTTGAAGAAGTATTCAATGTGTAAAAACACAATTTTTTATTCCAGGTACTTGATCTGAAAAAAATTGGGATGGCTGTACAAAATTCTTCATATGTGTGTCTAATTTTGAGAAACTTTGAATACTGTGGATGTTATTCTGTGTTGTGTTGCACTTTCTTGTCTATATGATTGTGTAATATCTACTTGAATTACTTGATAATCTTTTTACTGTTAAGCAGGGCTGCTGTGTCACTTAAATTTCTCTTGTCTTAATGAAGTTTGGTCATGTCTTACATATTACTGCATATTAATACAGCGCACATATGTGTGGCCAAGTTGCATTATATCCTTACTTTAAAACTAAATTGTTATGCAGCTTTGGTAATTATGAAAATAATTCTGATAATAAATCAAGTCAATTGAATAGAGATGGTACAAAAGCTTATGTTGTTTCTGATAGTGAGTAATACTGTATAAGTGTGCTGAAAGCTTGTTTATAAATTCTGCATCTCAGAAAATAAGTGAATCAAATGAAATGTCAAATAGGAAAAGTAGGTGCACATAAAATTACATCATAGCTGAGTGCACTAATCCTACTCCATTTCTGTTTGTACTTTGAGTTAGGTAAAAAGAGCTCTTTCAGGATAGTAATATTTAAATAAATTTTCTGAAGCCTTTAGCAGATACCAACAGAAGTAGATGGAGAAAAACAGGATCATCAGTAATGCACACTTATATCTTTCAGGGAGCAGCCGCTTGCACAGATTACAAGAGGGATATGCAGTTTATTGCCCTTGATGTTTGTTTGATTCTTCAGTATTCTTAAAAATTCTTTTAAAAATCTTTATTCACACACTGTGTTTGTGACATTAACTTCCACAATATTTAATGTGTTGTTTCTTTGACTCATAACCTGTTTTTCTGTTCCAGGTGAACCTGACTTTACTGAAAGAAAACCCAAATAGTTTACAGCTTGTTTGTTGAGTCAGCATGCCCTGAATTACTCATTTGAACATTTTAAAATGTTTAAAAAACCCCAAAGAAAGAACAAAACTGAAAAAAACCAAAGGTCTCAGGATTATGTTTATAAAACTAAAAAGCAAACTAGATACTATGGTAAAATTATCTGAATAATTTAATGAATAAAGCCATAAGAAAATTATCTCCTCATGGGTGCTATCACTGACATAGATTAAAGTAGTGCCATCACTGCTTGAGTTTGTGAACACTGTAGGATTTATTAAAAGTGTGGTGATTTCATTTAACATTTGATTCCTATGGCAGATATATGTGGGTTCAAAAAGATGTTTTCTTCTTGCTATAAACATTGAAATTTGATACCTGAAAATGGTCTTTCAAAGCTTAAAGTAGCTTTTTGAAATTAGTTTTTAAATGACTGTCATTGTCATCAGCCTTTTAATTGTTTTTGAAAAGCATATGCTACTTCTTTAGAAGGGATACACAGGTACTGTGGAAATGGAAATTTTTGAGTACCTAGAGCCAAGTGTTCATTGAATATTTTGTCCTTGGAGGTGCCCCTTAGAAGCCTTTGTGTCACATCTCACAATTCTGTGGCCAAAAGCTCTTAAGCTGCAATAATTCTGGTCAGAATAAAAGCCTTGCCTAGACTTCAGAGGCAAGCAGGTAAAGTAAGGAAACTAATTAACTAGTTAGACACCATATCAAGAAATTTTGATAATGAAACTTCAGTTATGCAGCAGCTTTTTTTCCTATGAGGAGTTAATCTTCACAGATAGGGGTCTTTTGATACCTGGTTCTTATTTCCTTTTTCTGTCCTATTACTGGTCTGGTAATAATTGACCTCTAGATAATAAGCTTTTGAATATTACTTAACTGTTCACCTTCTGTTATTTTAAAACCTGCAAACTGCTCTGTCTAGGGCTTTCTTGGGGATGTGTTTTTAGGAAACATCAGAATATGTGTTTGTTTATTCTATCTAAATACTTAAGAGTGTGAATTTTAACCTATCAATATGTTATGTGTAAACATCTTAGGCTGCCAAGCGAGGGATTCTCTCTTCAGTTCGCGGCAGAGGGGTTCACGCGAGAGGCCGGGGTGCAGCGCGTAGCAGAGGCAGAGGAATACGGGGCCGGGGGAGAGGCAGAGGAGTTCCTGTGCACGCGGTGGTGGATCATCGGCCCAGGGCACTGGAGATCTCTGCCTTCACCGAAAGTGACAGAGAAGATCTGCTGCCTCATTTTGCGGTATGTCGCAATTGCACACTTTTTTTTCTCTTTGGGTAACAGCCTTCCGCTGAATGATTTGTTTTCTCCTGATTCAGTTAATCTGGAAATATTATGTAGGAATGAATCTAGCATGATATGCAGAGGATGCATTAGGAAAAGATAAAACAGGAAAAATACACTATTGCTTCAGCTAGTTATAGCTGTGATCACATAGCATTTACAAAGCTTTTTTTTTCTTCCAAAGACAAACGGCTTGTAATATTAATTTGCTCAGGACATATGTAAATTTTTTACAGTTTTTTAGGTACAAAAAGATAAAATAACTGAAGGGATGGTGAGAACAAAGATTGATTTACTGCTAACTTTTCAGTACCTGAATTCAGTCTGTCTTTGTTGAAGTACTTTAACAAGTGCTTAATGAAAATTTTCTTCAAATATTTTCAGTGCTTTTGCCTAACTTTATGAATTTAAAAGTCAGAGTGAAAATTATGCAATTATATGTAGATCTTGAAAAGCCATCCAGACATTTCTGTCTAATCATATACTTAAGAATTCAGATATTTTTCTACTTTTTTTCCTATTTTCAGTCTAAAAAATGATAATTCGACATACATAATTTTTAGCAAATTTTTCTTTGCAAATAGTGAAAAATCAACATAAATTTATAAAAACCACTTATATTCCAAATAAAAAAAGAATAGTACAATAAAAGCAAATTTGTTTATTTTGTGGAATAAATGCTAAGAATATCATGTAAATCTCCATCTGTGCAACCCTCCTCTTTATTTGTTTGGGGTTTTTTCCCCAGCATTTAATTGCAGTGGTCCTCTCTGAAGGGAGAAGTCCAGGAGCCAGTTAGTCCACTGAATTCTGCTCCAGTCAGTGTACTTAATATTTTCTGTCAGGCAGTCATACAAGAAGGTTAAAAAGAAAAAAAAAAACAACAAAAAAACAAGGACCTGTATCTCTTTTTATAGGAAACTTATATCTTTAACAAGCCAAATATTAATCAAAAATATCTTTAGTAACATGAACAAATACAATTCCATTCACAGTGTCAGTTGGATAACACTGAGAAAAAAAATAAGTAAGTTTGCTGTTTTAAACTTGCTTCAGATTCCATTGGAAATACTCTGAGCTGTATTTCTGGTTTTGTGATGTGATACCACAACTCTGTGCACATCAGTAGTGCAGTCCACTTGCACAGATGTGGTTTTTTATTGGCCTTTGTGGCTTACAGTGATGGCAGCATCAAAGGTAGCAGTACCATCGTGGCCGTTACAGGAATAGATAGGTCATGTTGTTAAGATGCTGAAAAACAGAACCCAGTTGTTTTCAAACTTTTTCTACAGCTCCTGTAGAAATATTTCTGTGGAAGAGTTTTGTAATAGATCCCTTCTTTCTAATCAGAAGAGAAATACTGAAGCAGAACCACCTATTTCTATCATAGTTTTACCTCATACCTGTAGGAATTGGGAAATCCAGAGATGAGAGCACTTCAATGGTTTAGAAATGCAAGTACAAGTAACTGTATTCTTGTCTAGGACAAGTACTCTGGCATTAAGATTGTGATGTATACACTGTTCTAGTTTTCTACTTTTTTTGAGGCTGTTTGATTTAGGACTGCATTTTACTAAACTATTTTACTAAACTTCTTTGTTGTTGTTTATTTATCAAAAGCAATATGGTGAAATTGAAGATTGCCAAATTGATGACTCTTCTCTCCATGCGGTGATTACTTTTAAAACAAGAGCAGAAGCTGAAGCCGTGAGTATAGTCTTTCTTGAAAATACACTGCAGCATTCAAATACTTTGTTTACGTTACACTTTTGTATTTGATTAAATGTAATATTGTTAACTATTTTAAAACTGTTGCCACAAAAGTGTCAATTAAACAAAAATGTCAGAACTGTAGGAAATACTTAGGAAATCCTTAGGAAATTAAGTTTGTAGTAAAGCAAGGTGCAGGATATAAGAGAGAAATTAAGGTAAATACTTTGGAATTGATATTTAGATGTCTTGGGTTATCTTAATTTAATTGCCAGGTTTTTTCACCTGAAGACTTGGTACCCTCATAGTCTACCTGGAACTTCACTGACATCCTGCAGTCAACCTATATATTTACTTGGGGATCAATTTGGTTTACCTTTGTCTGAAAACCTGCGGTAGTGTAAATGGGATTTGATTCTTTTTTTCCACCTTTTTAGCATATTTTTTAAAATTTATGGAATTACAGAAGCATAGAGTTGCAGAAGTAACTTTTAGAAACTAAAATCTGGAGATGACTTACATTATAATTCAGTATCGTTACATATGGATCATTAGAACTTAATACATTTGGCTCAGCAGGACTCCTGCCTTACTTTGTCCATGGTATAGGCATATAATATAGGCTTATTATGTGATACTGAACAAATTCATGAACATAATTGTTCTACAAATGATTTTTACTTTAAAATCATTGTGTCACTGTTGGGATGGAGTATTCCTGAAAATAGTAGGGACTACAGAAAGAATGGATTCGTATTTGCAGTATGGTTGTATGGAGAAATTTCAGTTTGTTTTTATATTTTGCACAAATTTTATCTTGTGGAGTTTACCTGAACACAGTTTTCATACCTGGCCAGACTCTTCTGTTGTTCATCTTGAGACACCAGTGAGGTAATTGACAGAAAAAAACTGCTATTTACAGTGCAAATTAACCGCTGGGGACAATAGTTTTGAACACTTAGAATATAATTTATGGTTAGATATTTTGATAATCCAGCCAAAGATGCTTTACAAAAACACAGAATTCTGTTTTATTTGTGAAACTCTTAGCTATAGTAATGATGAGCACTAACTGTATGGAGATAGTATTTATTCTGTAAAAAAGGAGGTACATGGTATACTGACTGATAGGGGAAAACAGTATTATACAGGTGTATTGAAGGAACACAGTTCAACAGTGAACAAAAGTTCTGTTCAAAGATAAAAGCTGCTGTAATTAGTATACTCATAAATGAATTGAAGTTGGGATTTTAGATCAGGTGCTTCCTTGTATTGGGTACTTCCTTTTGCAGTTTCATATTCTTTGACATTGTGGTTTACATAAGAAATACACTCAAGTGTGGAGAAAGTTCTGCTTCCCTGTAAAGAAATACAGATCCCCTAGAACAATAATCTGTTTTTCTGGACTATCCAAATAAAGTCTTTACTTCTTCCAGATGGAGTATGATTCTCACTGCAAGAATCAGGATTCATGATCAGTGTTTGAGATGTCCATGTTCTAGTGAGCATTAAACCATTTAATTGTCAACTTTATGTTTGATTAGATTTTGTGTCTAATTTCACCTTCATTTTTAAATGAAGATTTTATGAAAACTGGGTTCAATCAAATCTAGGAAAATTTTTATTTTCTTTCGGATACTCTTATATATTAAGTGTATCACAATATATTTCCATTGGAGTGTCTGTATTTGCAACCAAAGCATTACGGCTGGCAATTTGAGAAACTGTAGAAGGTAATCATTAAAAGCCTCTGCTGAGGCAAATAGTGAAGTAAATGCTACTAATATTTTACCTTCCTAAATGAAAATAGGCCTAGGCTTTATGATCATATATGTTCTAGCCTAGAAGGAAGAGGAAGATTCCCTGTTGTAAAATGTTCCATTTTTATGTAGTAGTAATTTCTTCCAAAGATTACAAGTTATTTCTGGACCTAGATGTCACTTATAAGTACTTTTAAAAATTCTAGTTGTGTGACATTGTGATGAGACCATGAACAAAAAGCTCCTGAGCTGCATTTTAATAAGCATAGAATCTTTTAAATTTATCATAAATTTATATGTACAGATTTAAAATTTATACCTGGGGACTTTAATATCACACAATTCATGTTCAGATGTCATTGAACATGTAATTGTTTCTACATTTCACATTATGCCGTACTTTCAGATTGTACTATAAATCTTTTGTGACCATGACGGTTATTTCGGAATGTTGCTAACACTGATTTATGTTCATTCATGTTACTTTAATTTGAACATACTATTTCTGAAGTAGCCACTTAATGCAGCTGCTACTTAGAAAGACATGAATATCCCATAAGTTAAAAATTTTTACATTTCAATTACAACAGCTTTACAGGAAGTGGAACGTTTTCCAGTAGACTAAATTGTGATCACAAAAGGGCTTTTTTTCAGTTGTTTGGTTGTTGGGTTTTTAAAAATACGTTAAATCATATGTAGGGATGTCTTCTTCAGTAGGTTATGCATTAACAGTTTTGTGTCTGTCTTGGAAAGGTGACGAGCCCAGAAAAATAATACTTAAAACCAGAAAGGTGTTGGTTCAGTATGTTACCCACATTGCCAAATGATATATGGTTTTCCAAACTTATTTTCTTCTAAACGTATTTTCATCATTTTCCTCAAAGGATGTATGAATTGCATGTGCAGTGAATGAAGTTGTTTCGTTTAACCTAGTAACAGTACTTTAATATGAATGTATTGCAACTTTGACTTTCTTTTGTAAAGTCATGTGTAACTGAGATAGTCAAACTTGTTTTAGGCTGCAATTCATGGATCTCGTTTCAAAGGACAAGAGCTAAAGCTGGCATGGAACAAGCCTGTTGCTAGTATGTCAGCTGTTGAAACAGAAGAAGCTGAACCTGATGAAGAAGAAGTAAGCTTGCTTTTTCTTTATTTTTTTTTTCTTTTTAAAAATGAAATAATACAGTTTTTTAAAAAAAGATCTATCTGTGAATTCATATTTGTATTTTTTAATCTAACTCACATTTTGATATCAGAAAGTAGATTTCTGTATATTTTTTGGGTTTAGGGTGTTGAAAGTTGAAGTTGCTTTTGCTCGCAGAAATATTTAATTTCTTACATAACAAAAAAATTTAGAGGATTTATCTAGAAAATGGAAGGCAGAGGTTTGAACTTGCATAAGAGAGATTGATGATTTTGTCCAAAACATGGTTTGTGCCATCTAATTTTGGCACTAATTTCTTAGAGGAACATATTTCAGACTCTAATTTTCCTTTATAGATATGGCTCAGAGGATACAGGTGAAGGAGTAATTTAGAGCATTTTCTGACTTCACTCACATATCTAAAGTACCCTTGCTGGGTGCTCGCCATGGTCCATAAGAGATACTAAAGCCTTGTCCAAATAATCTTAATTGGTTAATGTAGGAATAGTGAGACAATATGTATTGATGCAATCTCACTCATTACACTCAAAATACCTATGTTTGTGAATTCAGAAAAATAAATGTCACCTGGGGATAAAGCCAGACAATATTTTTCCAAATTTATTTACTAATTGGCATAGAAAAGTTGACATGGAAGTGCACTTCGACTTACTCAATGACAGTATTTTGTTTTCATTATTTTCTTGCGGCATTTTGGTGGATCTACCACAGAAGCAGCTTCACAAGTTTGCTTTGATACAATCAAATTTGGTTAGTTTTCTTACATTGGTGATGTTTGCTTTCTGTTTTTTTCCTGAAGAAAGCCACTTTGTCTGCTGGCTTCCTGTCTCCAAAAATGCCAATTCGTTTTTTGTGTGCCATTTGAAGATAGGTACCTCTCATATTAGACATTTTTGCATTCCAGTTTACTGGGTGCTACTTTCCTCATGTACACAGACCTCAAGTGTTGTCAGATGGTCATGAGCTGTGAGTGAACAAGAGACTATATTATAGAATCTAGAGAGCATCTTAGGTATTTTGTCACATCTCCTCAGGGAAGCATTGTATTGGAAGATCAACAGCAGTGTGTTGATGCAAGGAGTCTGTATTGTGGAGAGGTCTCCTTGAGTAACCACTTCACTGGGACTTCTTGTGTAGTGAAGGAAGGGCATGCAGGGATAGGCAAATATTTCAGCAGAGTAAAGGAAGGAGTCTACAGATTCATTGATAAGTGAACTACAGAGAGATCTATCTTTTAACTGCCTTAGCTAATTACTCCTGTGGAAAATATCTAAGAGTTGAACTTGGATCAAAACCCTTAGCTGTTCATTGGTTTTGTCTGCTTGCCACTTACTTAATTTGTTTTATAGCAGCAGTTGTAAGCACATGAAAAATGTTTTCTTAATTATTCCTTATCTATAATGCCATGCTAGTTCAGCTGAATACGATGCTAGAGAAGGTAGCAGGCTTAAGACTTGAATGAAAGTGAGTACTTTGTCTCAAAAAAAAAAAAAAAAGTGCTATGTAATTCAGCTGAGATTCTTGATAACAAAACTGGGTTCCCAGTCCATTATGCAAATAAGAATCTTTTGGACTTAAGCACTTTAGAAAATCCCTGGTGAGTAGGCAGCTAATTATAAAAGCATCTGGTCTTCCTAGATGTGTTATGTTCTACACCTGGGTGCCTAACAAAAGAGCTGACTCTGCTGAGTCAGCAACTGATCCCTAAGAAGAGTATAAAATGTGTAAGTAGAGACAAGCTTTTAATCATCAGGGATTTGCAGTTGAGGGACTTCTTGAGTCAGAGATGTGGTGTCTTTGTAGTTGAAAGGCCTTGACATGTGTTTATTGTATTAATTTTTCTGGTTTCCTTGGATTCTGAATAGCATCTGTAATGTCTTGTAACAAGGAATGCTACTGTTCAACTATGTCTACTCTGAATAAGTATTGTTCTGTTGGATCTGCCACCTACATGTTCTCTCCACTTTCATTAAGATACTTAATATGCAGGGACACTGTCATAGTTCCCCTCAGTTATTTTCTCTCCGTATAGTTGTGCTCCTGTATGGAAGCCTGTCTTTTTGATCATCTCTGCTACCACTCAGTCTTGTGCTCTGTAGAGTTCTGCATTGTGCACTGCCCAGGACACCTCCTCTTTGACTGTTGCACTGTTGTATTTTAGATCCCTGAACATCAGGGAATACCAGGAATGAATCTTAAGTCCTCAGAAAGCTTCTGTGTTTTAGTCAGGGTCAGACTATGCAGGCATACGTTGATAGGTCAGGTGTCAGCAGAGCTCCTTTTGAAACTCTGCTTCCCATATGCAAGAGTAATAAAGATGGTTTCTCCCTCTTATAAAAGAGTCTGCTGGAAAGAGAGAAGGCTTAGTTCTAGGCTTTGTTCAGCCTAGAGCCCCTTCTCCCTTAGAAGACTTCATATTTTTGCAAATCAACCTTCACACCTCTTGCTGAATTTGGAAATACTGTAGCAAAAAACCTACAATTCCTTTGACACAAAGAATAAGCAAGAAAGAACAAAGCTGCTATCTAACAGCTGGGCAGTTTTGCTAAGAAACGACATCCTTACATTTTAGTCCTTTCTTTAGCTATGACAGAGTTTGCCGTGTTAGGTGTGATCATCAAAAAATTTCCAAGATAGGATAGTTTATATAGATAAACTATATATAGATAGAAATTAAAGCAACTTATATTCAAAGGCTTTGAAGTCTGTCAAGTTACTATGTTGTTATGGAACAGAATTGAAAATATACTAATACAGTTTGTTTGAATTTCTCTAAATACCTGTCTCCCTACCTCATTTAAATTTTTATATTGATTTAAATCCTGATTAAGCTGTCAAAATCAAAAATTCCTAGATTTAGCCTTTTTGATACTGTGGAACATATGGATTAAGATCTTGGATGAAAACAGACATAGATACTGTGAAAATGCAAAAAACCATTAGTTTTCAGTATAGCATGTTAAGTTTCATGGGAATATAGCAGCTTGGACATGAATGATATGCTGTAGAATCAGAAGAGTGGTGCATGTGTCATGGTCATCTTGAAGTCTTAAAAATGTTTCATTTGCCATTTAGTAATATATGTATATAGGAAATACACATCTCCAGTGTACTTTCTTGAAAGCATTAATATTTACCTCTTCACAACCAAATTTTCTTCTTTATTAAAGTTCAAGTGCTAGAAATTTGTATTTTGCCTTTTGATTTTTAACATTTTTTTGATTTAACAGTTACCACATTTTTCTCTTGAAGTTTCAGGAAGAATCTTTGGTGGATGACTCACTGCTCCAAGATGATGATGAAGAGGAAGAAGAGAATGAATCTCGTTCATGGAGAAGATGATTCAACTGATCAACAACAATGCTAGAACTGCACCTGTGTTGCATTAGTATTACCTAATGTACTTCTGCATCTTTGTATTAAAAGGGGTTTTGTGATGAAATTGGATTCTGATATAGATTAAAAAGCAGCTGGTGGGTTATACATTTTGAGAGATTGATGTTTGAGTTACATTTCAAATGATTGCTGAAGACATCATACTAGGAACATATGCAATGTTTTTATTACATAGTTCTACAGAAAGTTACAGAATTCTTTGGGTTCTTTGTAATTTACTGAATTGGTCAAACACAAATGACCAAAACTTGTTATAACATAGATAATTTTTGTTCTATTCCAGATACGGAATGAAAATTTGCATTTAAAATCTTTGTGAATGTTTTCAGAAATGAATAGATAACAGTACTAAACTGAAGTCTCTAAAGTTATGTATTCATAATATTGCATAGTAGTATGCTTAGGCTTTACTATGTACTAGCCTTTTGTTGGATTTGTGTACGTATTTTACCTATGGGTTTTAATGATAAA